AATTTGACAGTTGCGGGGCAAAGGACATATTCAACTGGTAATAATTCATATCCATATTCTGTCGCTGCAGGTTACTTCAATGATGATGTTCAATTAGATCTTGTTACTGCGAATTTCGGGTCTAATACGATTGGCGTTTTTCTTGGATCTGATAATAACTCCTTTATCAGCCAGAGAACGTATTCAACTGGTTCATATTCATCTCCTTATTCTGTTGCCGTTGGATATTTTAATAATGATACTCGATTGGATATTATTGTTATTAATTATGATAATAGCAAATTTGGAATTTTTCTTGGTCATGGTGACGGAACATTTGATGGAATTATTTTATTTTCAATGCCTTATGGATCCCATCCATTCTCTCTAGCTCTTGCTGATTTTAATCGTAATGGAAAGCTGGATATTGCTGTGATTAATAATGGAACGGATAGTTTAAGTCTTTACTTACAAACTTGTTAAATACATTTTTATGTTTTTTATAAATTAAATAGAGAAAAATATAAACACTGTTGCACTCTTATTCTCGACGCCTTCTCTACAACTGGTTTCCTTTGTCTGTTTGAAACGTTCTAGGCGGCAAAAAGTGAAGTTTGAACGAATCATTCAAAACGCTGCTCGTTTCTAGTGAGCGTGAGAAGAAAGTCAACATTTACAGCCATCTTCGAGAGAAAAGCAAACATTATATTTATTCTTTTCTGGCAATCGATTTGTGCCCTTGTGTTCCTTTTGTGGACAGTAATATAAACACGAGGGTGCACGAGTTAGAGCAGAAATTAAGAAAACCGTCTCTCATGACATTATCCGACATCAGATTCGTTTTTTAACCGTAACAAACTGAAGCTTTTTTCGAACATAATTTTAAAGTCTATTTCTATGACTGACAAATGTCTATATGAAATTATTTCCATCAATAATGATACGCTTCGTTACTGAACAAGATTGAGATATTCTATTTATCTCCCGGTAGAAAATACGTAGTTCGAATTTCTTGTAGATTTATCATTTTCTTCATTCGATCATTGACACTACTTGTCTCTCAATTGTATAAATACAGAACCTAGTAATATAAAGTTACTCATCGATGCACAATCAATGAGTTAGTATTTTATATAAAAACACCCTATAAAACACTTATTCATTTGCTGGCGAAAAACTTTTGCTCAAAGATATTTTTCATTACTATGAAAATCCAAGAGAAACGTGTAAAAATTTTCTTAATTGGATAATTGATTGGAGAAAATGCAACACTGACTTCGTTGAGGCTTATATAAGTTGCTACGAGTTCACCGATGTTTATGTGAATAAAGGAAGAGAGGATTTTTTACACATACAAATAGAGATATAACATCATATAACAATAGGATAAGGATGCAGGTTCGGACTAAGAGGACGTTACTGAAAGAAATATCTCTAGATATGTGTCGGGAATTGTTGACTTATTCCAACTTAATTTACTTGGCAACTCTCCTTTGTTCTCGTTCTCTGAATATATTCAAGTGCTTTACGTAATCTAATAGAGAAAGTGGATCCTATTGCTCTGGGCCTTTCTTCATCTTGAATTATGAAGTTCAGTTGAGTAGGATCATAGCCATGAAATGGAAAGTGACTTCATCAATGGACATTACGTGATACTATGTCGTAATATTAACCTTTGCATAACTCAAGAATGTCCATCATTAGGGACGCTATCAGGGAAGAAATGTCTACACGGTATTGCAAATATTGTCCTTAGAGATATTGGCACAGATTGCCCTTTTGAATTTTGCATGTTTTATTACTTGTAATTAAGGAAATAGATATTTCAACTTTGTTATAATATATGCGACCATATCGATATGGAAAGAATTTGCGAGATTTTTTCTAGGTAAGACGGAATTAAGTAGGACTTCATGACTGATATAAACAAAAGAACGAAAGAAAGTATTACAACATGAATACGTAGTGCTTACATGTTTATATGAAACAAAGGATGCTGGTGCTTGTTTAGCATCACCTAATAGAAGACAGAAAGACGTTCCAAACAGTCGAAAAATATACTCAGAATAGCTTTCTTCAATAATTACATTTGGACGTATATATACATCGACGGTACTCGAAGTGTTAAATGCGTTTATCCTCGAAAATGTTTTACATGGATAAAATGAGGAAGAATTACCCATACGTTTTCGTATTTATTTCAGAAAAACATTGATAATTAACGTTCAAGGATAACAAGTGTAATGTTTACAATAAGCTGCATCAGTTTTACCAATGTACAAGAATGAAAATTGATCTATCAGATATTTTATTTTCTTATGATAAAAAAAAGAAAAGTAAATTATCAATAAGTTTCAGCTAATTTTACTATTCATGCCACTCGTGTTGACAATTATAATCGAAGAAAACGTTGTGGAAATCTTGAACTTGCATTTACTTTCGCTGGATGTCCTTCAAATAGCATCGTCATGGTGTTAGGTAATTTCTGAACAAGGCAAAACTTTACTCTTTAAGAAATCTGATTATTGCTCAAAGATGTAGAAGAATGATTACGTTCGCGACATTCAAACTTGTGCATTTCTCCTTGATTACATTCACTGCCCAAATTACTTAAACGTTTCGCGTCAAGTTCAAAATAAAAAAAGAAGTTATCTTATGCATGGATAGAACTTATCGTTAGTTTATTTCTCAAATATCATATAATAAACCGATTCATTCTTTTTCTTATGATTTTCGAACAGCTCGTCCGTTACAGTGAGTACCTAATGGTGATTCTACAGTAACTAAAGTACTGTCTTCGCTCAAATTCATAACACCAACAATTGGTAATTTTGTTGAAAAGGTTGATGGTTTCATAGCAGGCAAAAAGAATGTTGAAAGTCCATTACATTGACCTACTAATTTACCAGATAATGTCATAAAGAAATAAGCTATCTCTTTAACATTGACTTCTCCAGAAAGACAGCAGCATACGTCTCGGTTACACAATGGAGTAACATTGAATGTACCCGACCAGTTTGGCTTTGTTTCTAGAATAGATAGTTTTAAGAAAGATATGAAAATGTAACATAGTTTCACTTACCATAACTTGATATCGTAGCGATATTCAAAGTTATCAAGAAAAGAAATGAATAAAACATTCAATTTTGATTTTTGCTTTCAAATTGAATTTTTTCAATCAATCGATTTCAATAAATATGCACTTTGAGAAGGAATTAAAATTAATCCTTAATACTAAATAGCAAAGTAAGAATGACATCACATTTTTATCAAGGATTTAGGTTAGAAAAAGAAGCTAAATCATAACTATAGATTCTTCCAATATTATTGCTTTCTAACGTGAGGATTAATCAGAATGACTGTGCACTAGGATGATTCTCTCAATTTAGATCGAGAAACGAAAGTATCGAGTAGATAAACATCAAAATATCAAGAGGATGGAAGTGTACATAGATGTATAGGTTTATCATGATTCATATTCTCATCCTCAAGATGCAGTTTACATAATCGTTGGATAAGGTCGAAAGTTTACGCATCTATCGAGATGACAAAAATAGATATCTTCGTATTCTGTATTACTTCTATTCATTGCTGCAATCAAATCACCTGTAATATTCCGTTTATTTTCTCGATTGAAAGAAATAATATACGAAAAAAACAGCGTGTATGTATGCGTGTTTGTGTCAGGGTCAAAGATCAAAAGAACATTTTTTCGCCAAAAATTTTGATAAGTCGAAAAACACCTCTTGAGTGGGTTGAAGAGACGAAAAAGATCGTTTATAGCGTGGTTAGGAGTCGATACAAAACAAAACACCTGCTCATGGCAGAAAGCTTTAGTTTTCAAGAACTTTATGGTATAATAAGCAAGTGCTCTTGAGTCTTTATCTATTTGTCTGTTCGCATAGATACGGATTCCGTTTCTGTGATATTTACAGTCGCCCAACTTTCCGTGGTGCGTCCGTCAGTTCAGACGAAGGTCGACATAGAGTTTACTTTTTATATGGCGAGTCGGGCGAGGATATCTGAGTGAAATTTTACTCACGTGATTTTTTGTCACTTAAAAACGCCAAATTTTGGTACAATCATCCGTAGGCTCAAATTTAATCGCCAGGATATGACGGCGAGTATCGAAGGCGAACAAAGGATTTAGATGAGATTTTACACAGTTTGTGTATACTGGTATTTACAGTGATTTCGTCGAGTTTTGAGAAAACTACTTGGGATTTGCACTGAATTTTTCTCTATCTACTTCCTTAAGTTATGTAAGATTACAGCACGAGAAGTGACAATATGATCAAAAATTAAGACAGCCACATCCGCTCCCACTGACACTTCTTCTTATGTCAATGAGAAAAAGTTAAGGAAGCTCAGGCTTACATTCATGAGTAGCTGCATGTCATTCCATAGAATTTATATTTGTGTTAATAAAAACACACGTTTTAGAATGAGACGATTATCGTTTCTTTGAAGTAATCAGTGAATAAAGAACAAGGCCTGTACTAAGAACTTATCAAATTCTTCTGTGTAGGATTATAAATAAGAGCGATCAAAAAGTGTTGGAGAAAATATTGCTGGACGTATGTTTCTATCTATTGCATGAAAACTATGCTATAGAAAGTTTTTCTGTTGAACTAATCATTCAGGTAAGAATTAGGCGACTCACCCTCGACGACCATTATTTGTTTATAATTCATTTATTAATCTTTTTCATTTTTTTAATACCATTTACAATAAATATTGTTTCGATGACTTTTATAATTGTATTTGTTGCTCGTAATCGTGTTATAATTCAGCCAAAATTTACCACGTCTAATTATATCATTTCTCAGTAATTGTATGAAATCACCATGAAATTCTGGATTATTTCTATTCTCTTATTTCCTATCATTTTTATCATCATTAACAACATTTCTTATTTGTATATTTCCATCAGAAAATTTTAAAAAAAGAATTCAATGATTGATATTAGGGAACGAACATCACGACGAGCTCGTCAAACTATATTGATTTAATATATCAATCGCATCATTGGCAACATATCGAGAATGCATTTAACTCGATTTAGCTTTTGAGTTATCTCTACAAGACTAATACAATATGTTATATCTAATGATGATAGCTTTTCAATTTGATTCATATAGACATTCAATAAAAGTTACTATTATGATGGAACACGTTACTATAACGATAGAATTCGATCATGATGTATAAATAAAAAACTAGTTGCTAACATGTGGACAAAAGAGGCTCTCGGTTTTCAGTGAACACAAAAGACTCGATAGATTTTACAAACTACTCCATATGTTCATGAATTTTCGTAAGAGAGTTTTCGTAGCTGAATATCAGGGTTATCTATTGCTAAGAAGAAGATATTGATTACTTGAAAAATAAGTGAGTTATTGAGAAACCTTGCAGTAACGCACAGACATGTATATGCGTAAAAGTTTGCTAATTTTAAAATATCACTTTGAAACATCGAAAAG